CTGATATGGTTTGTGGAGCGTGACGTGCCTGGGCGGGTGCGTGCGATCACCCCTGGAGATCGGTTCAGCTGTTTCAGTAAATGGCATTTGCATAAGGCCGTGGGATCGTCCTCGGCAAGCCCGGGATAGAGATCAGGAGCTCCTGGCTCACTTCTCGGGTCTGTCACAGCTTCCTGCCCGTGTCGTTAATGCGGGAAGGAGCCAACGCCGAGCATTGAATAATAAGATCCCCAAACCACTTTTCAGCTTCTTTTTATTTGCCTTGCATCCTTAAGTCTATTTGGGTTTTGATGTTTGAACTTTTGGGTTTCATTTTACAGTCATTAGGGCAAGACTTCATTCTGCTTCCTTCCGAGAGCCTCATCCTCTGGTCACGTGAACCCAGAAACTTGGGTTTTATGGGAAAACACCAAGCGCTGCAAATCTCACGATGAAGCCGCGAGAGGCAGCGAGTCAGGCTGCTGCGTTTCGGTTTCTGTGTATATAAAATGATGGAGAAGGGTGTTCTTTGACTAGAAGTATCTTGCTTCTAGCTTCGCCAGAAGCAGCATGATTTGGGGTAACTTCTAAGCATCAGGAGTTTTTACCTGTTTCAGTTTCTCAGTGGTACTTGGGCACGTCCGCAAAGCATGAGATGGGATCGGCTGTGGGAGCACTGGGCGTAAATATTACAGCCCCTTCGAGGCTGGCAGGAAAACCGATGCTAATTACAAGTTCCAGATGTACCCTCAGGTCCCTCCCAAGAGCAGGCAGGAGCAGCCTCCCGGTGCGGTGTCCACAGCACCCCCGGGTCTCCTCGTTAGGAAGAAGCAAATAGGAAGTGACTGTGTTAATCCCAATTAGTGATGCTCCCGCCTTCCCCCCTTCTCTCTGCCAGGAAAGGGACAAAAAATGAAGCTTTTCTGGTTTGCTGCTGCCTCCTCTTGCATCCCGCAGCCAGAAACCCGGTGCTGCCCTTCGGGAGGAGAGGAGAAAGAGAAAGAGGGTGGGCTGGGGGAAGGGGAGGATGAAGAGGTGCTGGGAGAGCCCTGGACCTGGGGTCTGTGCTGGACCTGGGGTCTGTCCCAGCCAGTCCTGGGTGTCTGCTCG